GCTAGAGGGGAGTATCTCCCCTTGAGAGTCATTGATCTAACCATTAAGAGAGTCCTGAAAACATTACGCCAGTCTCCTGGATCATCCAGCTCTTTACGACACGAATCTCCATTAGAATCTGCATCCTAAGCACAGATAGTTTACCCAGACTCAACTACATGTGCTCAGAAAAAAAGATAAATTTAAGGAAAATAAGACTTGGGGTGGGTTTTTTCTTTTTTTTTTCTTACTTTTTAAATCAACTTTGTTTTGCCTGTCTGAAAAATCATATAAATGGAATTACTCAGCGTGTATTTCTTTGTATCTGACTTATTTCACTTAACATAGTGTTTTTGAAATTAATTTATGTTGTGTGTATTGGTAAATTATTACTATTTATTGAGTAGCCTATTGTATGGATATAACTCAACTTATCCATTTACCTGTTCAACATTTGGGCTGTTTCCATTTATGGGTTATTACAAATAAAGCTGCAACAAACAGCTCTACCCCAAACACCGTTGGGGTCACAGGGAAGGATAGAGAAGTCTTTGTATAGATATATGTCTATTTAATTTTGTTTGTTTGTTGTTTGTCTGTTTGTTTGAAACGGAGTCTCACTCTGTCGCCCAGGCTAGAGTGCACTGGCGCCATCTTGACTCACTGCAACCTCCGCCTCCGGGGTTCAAGCAAATTCCCCAGCCTCGGCCTCCCAAGTAGCTGGAATTAGAGGCACGCGCCACCACGCCCAGTTAATTTTTGTACTGTTTTAGTAGAGACGGGGTTTCGCCATGTTGGCCAGGCTGGTCTCAAACGCCTAACCTCGAGTGATCTGCCCGTCTCTGCCCCCAGAGTGCTGGGATTACAGGCATGAGCCACCCTGCCCAGCCAACATATGTCTATTTAATTTTATAAGTAATTATGCACCTGTTTTTCCAGTTGCAGAGTGGTTCTCCATGTTACAGTCCCACCAGCAATGTATCAGCATTCCAGTTGCCCCATATCCTTACCAACCTTGCTATGGTCAGTCTTTTCACTTTAATTATTCTAGTGAGTGTGTATGGTAGTATCTCATTGTGATTTTAATTTGCAATCTCCTGATGTACTAATGATATTGAACATCTTTTCACAAACTTATTGGCCGCTTACGTATTTTCATTTGTAAAATGTCGTTTAAATATTTGCCCATTCTGTTATTGTTTTTTCTCTTATTGATTTGTAAGAGTTATTTATATATTGTGGATATGAGTCTTTTGTCAGATATATGTTTTGCAAATATGCACAATAACAGTCCAAATAAGCCAGAAAAATCCCTCCTTGAGCCAGTGTCTGAATGAGTGGGAGATGGGAAATGGATTATTTCCTGTGCAGGGAAAGCTTCTGGCAGTGAAAACATCACATTGCACTGCGTGCTTCCACTATGGAAAGATACTTATTTTTCACCAAAAAAAAATGGTGCCTAAACATAACCAACCACTTCCTTTAATGCACGGTCAGAGAAATGTGATATGTTCCATCAATGGAGGAAAACTTGCTGTGTATGTCTGTCTCCAGAAAGGTGCCTTCCTGAGCAGTTTTCAAGGATAATTTAGGTCATGTGCGATTGTCACCTGGCTCTCAGACTTAAACCTAGCCCTAGCAGAATAATAAACAATTCCACTGAACACTCTGCCATTGAAAGAAGGGAGTGGGGATAGAAGTCAGACACCCAGGTCTACCCTGAACTACCTACAGTATCCATCCATTGTTGTAACTTCCTGGTTATTTTCCTTCCCTGTGACCCCAAAGGTGTCCATCTGATCAGCAGAAGCCCCTCTTGTAGAAGTCTCTGATGTGTGTGAAAATGCCTTCAAATCTATATTTTTATATATATTTACATATATACGTATTTACATATATAGTTATATGTATTTACATATATATTTACATATATTTGTATGCATTTACATATATATTTACATATATAATTTTATATATTTACATATTTTTTATGTATATATACACCAAAATACTAACAGGAATTATAAAAGACAGGTGACTATTTTGAGGCTTATCTATACCATACTTTCTTAGTTTTTGACACTGTATTTTATTTATTTTGTTTTATTTTTTATTTTTTGAGATGGAGTCTCACTGTCACCCAGGCTGGAGTACAGTGGCACAATCTCAGCTCACTGCAACCTCCACCTCCCAGGTTCAAGCGATTCTCCTGCCTCAGCCTCCCGAGTAGCTGGGATTACAGGCACACACCACCATGCCCGGCTATTTTTTGTGTTTTTAGTAGAGACGGGGTTTCACCATGTTAGCCAGGCTTGTCTTGAACTCCGGACCTCAGACGATCCACCTGCCTCAGCCTCCTAAAGTGCTGGGATTACAGGTGTGAGCCACCGCGCCTGGCCTCCATACTTATTTTAAACGTACTACTCAAGTTATAAAAACTAGAAGTAACTTAAAATTTTTCAGGAGGAATTTCAGTGCTAAAAATATTGTTTTGGAAGACTAAGCACATACATAAATTTTTATGATATATTGATCAGTGAAAAAAACCAGGATACAAAATATCTACAGCTTGATTCCATTTTATTTTTGTCACATTTTACATTTTTCTTTATTTCTGGGTATTTCTTTTCTTTTCTTTTTTTTTCTTTTTTTTTTTTTTGAGACAGAGTCTTGCTCTGTTGTCCAGGCTAGAGTGCAGTGGTGTGATCTTGGCTCACTGCAACCTCCATCTCCCGGGTTCAAGTGATTCTCCTGCCTCAGCCTCCCGAGTAGCTGGGATTATAGGCGTGCGCCACCATGCCAGCTAATTTTTGTATTTTTAGTAGAGGCAGGGTTTCATCATGTTGGTTAGGCTGGTCTTGAACTCCTGACCTCAAGTGATCCGCCTGCGTCGGCCTCCCAAAGTGCTGGGATTAATAGAAGTGAGCCACAACAGCCGGCCTATTGCTGGGTATTTCTGTATAGTGAAAATACTAATGATTTTAGTTTTCTTATTTGTGCTTCTCTGTTTACATGTTTTTCAGTGAACATGTATTATTTTTACAATTAGAAAAAAAATATTATTTTTAAAGTACAAGTAAGAATGACTCTGGAGTCTGGCACAGTGGCTCATGCCTGTAATCCCAACACTTTGGGAGGCCGAGGCAGGAGGATTGCTTGAGGCCAGGAGTTCAAGACCAGCCTGGGCAACATAGCAAGACTTTGTGTCTACAAAAAATACAAAAATTAGCCAGGCATGGTGGTACATGCCTACTGTCCCAGCTACTGGGAAGGCTGAGGTGGGAGGACTCCTTGAGCTGGGGAGTTCAAAGCTGCAGTGAGCCATGATTGCACCACTGCATTCCAGCCTGGGCAACAGAGCAAGACTGTCTCCAAAAAAAGACTGACTCTGGGAGACAAAATCAGGTGACAGAGGATCAGGGTAGAGTTCATCTCCACCACTTCCTAGGTGTATGACCTGGGCAACTTTCTTAGTTGCCTTATAGAGTCTTAGTTACCTTATAGAAAAGGCAAAGATAGGCTGGCTGCGGCGGCTCACACCTGTGATCCCAGCACCTTGGGAGGCCAAGGCAGGAGGATCACTTGAGCCCAGAAGTTCAAGACCAGCCTGGGAAACATAGAAAGACCCCATGTTTTTTTTGTTGTTTTTTGTTTTCAGTGTTTTGTTTTATTTTGTTTTTTAGCAAGACTCCATCTCTACAAAACAAACAAACCAAAAACACATTAGCCAGGTGTGGCGGCATACACTTATAGTCCTAGCTCCTTGGAGGCTGAGGCAGATTGCTTGAGCCCAGAAGTGTGAGGCTGCAGTGAGCTATGTGATCTCCACTGTACTCCAGCCTGCGCAACAGAGTGAGGACCTGTGTTTAAAAAGAAATGAGAGAGAGAGAGAAAGAGAGAAAGGAAGGAAGGAAGGAAGGAAGGAAGGAAGGAAGGAAGGAAGGAAGGAGGGAGGGAGGGAGGGAGGGAGGGAGGGAGGGAGGGAGGGAGGGAGGGAAGGAAGGAAGGAAGGAAGGCGGGCATAATATATAACTGAGGTGATATGAATAAAGCAATTGGCACTTTCTAAAGGATACTTACATATTATCATCTCAACCATTCAATGATTGGTTTGGCTTGAGTAAAACCTGTCCTCCAAAAAAACACTTCTGAGCACCTATCCAGGTAACTTCCTTCTCTAGCATCCCAGAGCCACCAGGCTCACCTTGCACATCTCCAGTGTCAAGGGACTCCCTTCCTCCCAAAATTTCCCCATCACACTGTCCTGTCCTACCAGGGTTTGGCTCCATTCCTTGACACATCACTCGGGAACTGTACGGCCTTCGACAAGTCACTTTTCCTCTCTGGGCTTGTGGGCCTGATCTGTGAGGTATTTTGGGGAATCTTCCACCCTAGAATTGGCTGGTCTCTTCGGCTTTTTGGGTGTATCCTAATGACTTAGGAAGTTGGATGTATGCTTAGATGAGGGTCTATTTGAACACTGGGAGGAAAATGGCGGTTTGTGTGTGAAAATGGCGGTTTAATTTTCAGAAAAGTATCTAGTCTGTTGGTCTTGGCTTCATCCCTAAGTCGTTAGGATACCCTATCAAGGAACATAGGAAAACCCTTTCACTCTCAGTGGGGCCTGCCTCTCAAGCCAAATGTGCCATCTCATTCTGAATTCCAGAAGCTTATTTTTGACTCTACTATTATTCACCGTTATTATCAACTATATTATTAACTCTTGTTATTATTAACTCTACCTTTCTTCTTTCATTTCTTTTATAAAGTGCTAAGCTCCTGATATTATAATTATTCCCATTTTATGGTTGAGGAGACTTTCAGAGGTTCAGTAACTTTTCCGGAGTTGGACAGAGAGAAAGTGAAGTGGCCAGGACCAGAACCATTTACAATGGTCATTAGCGCCCACTCTCCTCAGGTCCCTCACTTCCTTCCACAGACCATTTCTCCCACATCCTAGGCCTATCCCCCACCCCTGGGGGGAGAGGAGCACAGGCGAGCAAACAGAAAGAAGAGACAACTGGCAGCCCATGTTTTATTGGACAGCAAGAACCAGCTACTCATATCCATTCTTGGGGACCGGCGGAGGTTTCAATGCATAGGAGAGACAGCACAGGGACGCATCCGGGCACAGGTGCATGTAAGTTTCTTGCCTTGTGCAGTAAGTTCGGCAGGCCCCTTGGCCCTTCCAGCACCGTTTGAATTCACTTCTCCCTAAGCAGAGGAAGATCATAGGTCACAGAGCAGCCCAGGGGTCACAGGTTAGACCACTGGTCACAAGTTAGGCCACAGATTCACTAACACTGGTCACAAGTTAGCTCTCTGGTCATTTGTTAGATCACTAGTCATAGATGAGAGTACTGATTACAATTTAGGTTAGACTACATGTCACAGGTTAGACCATTAGTTACAAATTGCAGACTAAGGCCAGGCACGGTGGCTTACACCTGTAATCCCAGCACTTTGGGAGGCTGAGGCAGGCAGATCACCTGAGGTCAGGAGTTTGAGAACAGCCTGGCCAACATGGCAAAACTCCTTCTCTACCAAAAATACAAAAATTAGCTGGGTGTGTTGTCACGTGCCTTTAGTCCCAGCTACACAGGAGACTGAGGCAGGATAATCGCTTGAACCCAGGAGGAGGAGATTGCAATGAGCCACGATTGTGCCACTGCACTCCAGCCTGGGTGACAGAGGGAGACTCTGTCTCAAATAAATAAATAGAGACTAATTTCTTGACCAGGTGAAACAACACACCAGGTACACATAAGCACTTTTCATAACACTATACAATTATAGTATTATTACAATCCCTACTATACAGGTAAGAAAACTGAGGCTCAGTGAGGTTAATAATCTTCTCTAGCTGGGCACAGTGGCTCACACCTGTAATCCCAGCACTTTGGGAGGCTGAGGTGGGTGGATCACCTGTGGTCAGGAGTTCGAGACCAGCCAGGCCAACATAGCGAAACCCTATCTCTACCAGAAATATAAAAATTAGCTAGGCATGGTGGCAGGTGCCTGTAATCCCAGCCACTTGGGGGACTGAGGCAGGAGAATCGCTTGAACCTGGGAGGCGGAGGCGGAGGCTGCAGTGAGCTGAGCTGCACTGCAGCTTTGGCAACAAAGTAAGACTCCATCTCAAAAAAAAAGAAAAATTAAATATAAAATATAACCTTATCCAAGGTCATACCGCCATTCAGGAGCAGAACTAGAACTCAAACCCAAGCAATCCGGCTCCAGAATCCACACCCATTACACGAACTGCCCCTGACACATAGGGACTTGTTTAATGTTAAGTTTTAGTGAAGGAATTTCCAACCATGGGCCATGGAAAAGGTAAGGCTTTGGGGAATAGGTCCTTTGCTCCCTCCAAGGGTCTTTGGTCACAACATGGGATGGAGCCTGTCCTTCATTTATTCACTCAGTAAACACGGGGCACTACAATGAACAATATGGTCATGGTCCCTGCCCTCAAGGAGCTTCCAGCATCAAGGAAGACAGTTAAAAAACAAGCAAATAAATACAAGAAATAGATTCTGTGGTAACTGCCACATTGGAAATGATGAGGGTACTGTGATGGTCAGTTAAAACCAATGTGGGAAGTGAGGGGTGACTAGGACCATGTAGACAAGCTTGACTGTTAAATGACATTTCCAGACATACAACCTCAGACAAGCAGAGAGCAAGCAGCCCAGAAGAACTAGCACTGAATGGGAGGTGGAGGGGAAAGGCTTCCCTGCATCTCTGTGGATTAAAATACATCCCATGTAATCCTCAAATGATGCCTTGGGCATATCCGCAGGTTTTATTCAGCCTGCCGAGCAGTCCACACTTCCCTCTTGCTAAGGTAGAGAATCTTAGAATGATACAGTACTGGCCTCAAAATTTCCATGAGGCAAAGAATACACCCTCTGAAGACAGTGTGTAGTATAATCGCTAACAGTGTGGTGTGAACCCAGCTCAGACCTCCTGGGTCCAACTCCCAGCTCAGTCATTTCCCATTGAGTGACCTTGGCCTCAGTTCTTCATCTGTACAACTCTCCTTCAGAGCACAGATAAGGATCACGTTAGCACAGTGCCTGGCATATAGTAAATGCTCAATAAATAGGAGGCAAGATTATCAGTATGATAGCTTAGATTGCTGGAACAACCAGGACCCATTCTAGGTAAATCCTCTCACTTACCAGTAAAGAGAGGAATGAACTTGCCCAAGCTCCCATAGCCACTAAGTGGTGGGTCTGGAACCGGAACCCGAGACATTAGCTCCCAGGTGAGGCCACTTTCTATAATAATTTTTTTTTTTTTTTGAGACAGGGTCTCACTCTGTTGCCCAGGCTGGAGTGCAGTAGTGCAATCTTGGCTCACTGTAGCCTCTACTTCCTAGGCTCAAGCAATCCTTCCACCTCAGCCTCCTAAATAACTAGGACTACAGGTGCACACCACTACACCCAACTAATCCTTTTATTTTTTGTAGAGATGGGGTCTCCCTATGTTGCCCAGGCTGGTCTCGAAGTCCTGGGCTCAAGTGATCCTCCTGCCTTGACCTCCCAAAGTGCTAGGATTTACAAGTATGAACCACCACACCCAGCCAAGAAATACTCTTAACACACCATCGCGTTTGAACTTCCCAGTCACCCCAATATCCAGAAGCAGTTCCTTTCTCCTGCATGATCTGCACTCTCTTCCTCATGTCTTTGACTCCGTCTCCCACCAATTTCCTTTATGCTCCCTCCCCAAGCCACACCAGCCTCCTTGCTGCTGTTCAAACACATCCATTACCCTGCCTCAGAGCCTCGGCCCTTGCTGCTCCCTCTGCCTGGAACAATCTTCTCTCGTATTTTCACCTTATTAAGACCTCTGTTCAGGCCGGGCGCGGTGGCTCACACCTGTAATCTCAGCACTTTGGGAGGCCGAGGCAGGCGGATCACGAGGTCAGGAGATCGAGACCATCCTGGCTAATATGGTGAAACCCTGTCTTTATAAAAATACAAAAAAAATTAGCCGGGCATGGTAGCGGGTGCCTGTAGTCCCAGCTACTCAGGAGGCTGAGGCAGGAGAACAGCATGAACCTGGGAGGCGGAGCTTGCAGTGAGCCGAGATGGCATCACTGCACTCCAGCCTGGGCAAGGAGCGAGACTCCGTTTCAAAAAAAAAAAAGAAAACAGACCTCGGTTCAAATCCACTTTATATAAAATAAGATCGCTGGAATGTACTTCAAAATAATTCACAGGAGAGGAGGGGGAAGTGAATAACAAAACAGGATTGGTTCAAATTGGTAATTGTTGAGGTTGGGTGATGGGTAATAGGGGTTCTTTATACTATTTATTTCTTATTTCTGGTTGAAATTTTCCTAAATACCAAAGTTTCTGGCTGGGCTCATACCTATAATCCCAGAACTTTGGGAGGCCAAAGCTGGAGGATTGCTTGAGGCCAAGAGTTTGAGACCAGCCTGGGCAACATAGTGAGACTCTATCTCTACACAAATTTAAAAGTCAAATAAAGAAGTCTCTTTTAAAAACTCATGCTGTTACAGTATTCTCTATTTCTGCATAAGTTTAAATTTTCCCATAATAAAAATGTTTAAAACTCACCTTGTTATTCTCTCTACTTTCATGTATATGTGAAATCTTCCAAAATAAAAAGTTTTAAAAAAGAAAAAAATCTAGGCCGGGCATGGTGACTCATGTCTGTAATCCTAGCACTTTGGGAGGCCGAGGCGGGTGGATCACCTGAGGTCAGGAGATCTAGACCAGCCTGACCAATATGATGAAACCCTGTCTCTACTAAAAATACAAAAATTAGCCAGGCATGGTGGCACATGCCTATAGTCCCAGCTACTCGGGAGGCTGAGGCAGGAGAATCGTTAGAACCCGGGAGGCAGAGGTTGCAGTGAGCTGATCATGCCATTGCACTCTAGCCTGGGCAACAAGAATGAAACTCCGTCTCGAAAAAAGAAAAAGAAACAAATCTTATTAGAGGCCTTCCCTATCCATCCTCATCAGTCTTCCCATCCCCACCCTTCTCCATGCACACACCACTCTAACCCCTTCCCTTGCCTTTCCTCTTCTTAGCACTTATCACCACCCAACATGTTTATCCGCTTATTTTCTATCTCTACCAACTAAAATATCAGCTGCATGAAAGCAAGGACCTTCTTTTCTTTCACTGCTAGATGTCTTTCACTGTTATGATTTCACAACAATCATAACATAAATGAATATTTATTGAGAGAATCCCATTTTATAGATTAGGAAACTGAGGTGCAGGCTGATTTAGCAACTTGCTCTAAGTTGCCCACCAAGTCAGTGGTGGGGCCAGAACTTAAATGCTGGTAGAGGCCCCTCTGTCCTCCAGGACCTAAGAGTCTAGTCCTCATTTTTACACGCACACACGTGCAGACACACACACATGCACACAATGTTGCTACCTGGTGGCACATGACCCAGAACCAGGAGAGCCACAAGGAGCAGAAGCAGCTGTGTCATGGCCATGGGGCTCCTGGGGAGGCTGCTGGAGAGAACACAAGAGAGACCCAAGCATGCTGAGCCTCGCTGCTTCCAGCCCAGCCTTTATTGAGCTGCGGATAAAGGCAGTGCTGTGGGCAGCAGGCCTAAGTGGGAGTATGAGGCCATGTAGTCCCCAGGCTGCTTGGGATCTCAGCCAGCTACGTGGGAACTGGTCAGCCACACCCTCCGGAGCCTGTTAAGCTTGGAAGCTGGGGGTAGAATTTCCTGAGGCATTGTTTAGGGTCAGAAACTAGACATCTTCCCCACCTAAGACAGTGGAAAAACTTTGACTTAAGAGAGACCTAGTTCAATCCCCACATCTCCCCCTAACTGCTGTGAGACATCAGACAAGTCACTTAATCTCTCTGAGCCTCAGGCTGTTGTCTATGAAATGATGACTAGTATCCCTTACAAGGCCAAGTGACCAGCATGTATGCAGGCCTACTCTAAAATGGGAAGAGTAATAGTACCCATGTCATAGACAGTAATAGCTACCTATCTCGTTTAGGGGATTAAATGAAGTAATAGAGTGGCTCCTATAGTGTGGTTCCCAGACCAGCAAGCAGCAGCAACACCTGGGACTTGTTAGAAATGCCAGTTCTTTAGCCCTACCCCGAACCTACTGAATTCACCTCTCTCTAAGCAGAGGAAGACCACAGGTCACGGAGCAGCCCATGGGTCACAGGTTAGATCACTGGTCACAAGTTAGACCACAGATTCACTAACACTGGTCACAAGTTAGCTCTCTGGTCATTTGTTAGATCACTAGTCACAGATGAGAGTATTGGTGGGTCCTGGCAAAATGTGGCTTAACAAGCCCTCCAGGTGGTTCTAACAGACCACCAAAGTTTGAGAACCCCTGAGATAATATTCGTGCAGAGCTTAGAACAGTGTCCGGTACACAGGAATCTAAATTGCATCATGAAAGATGAGTAGGGGAAAAGGTATCCCAGGCAGAAAGAACAGAATGTGCCTAAAAGAGGGGGGCATGAGCCAAGCAAGGGTTTTCCTGGGAGGAGAGGTTGAAATGATTCTGCAGAGAATATGATGGGGCTTGAATGCCAAGTTCAGACTTTTGTATTATAGACAACCAAAAGTTTTTTAGCAAGAGTGTAAGCTGTTCAGATTATAGTTTTAAATAAAGGAACTGAAACCCAAAGAGGGGAGTTGACTTGCCTAAGGTCACACAGCAATTGTGCTGCAGAGATGGAACTAAAAGCCAAGTCACCTCACTCCCAGACAATGAAGGGTACCACACCACTCACGGCCCATCTTGCAAGTTAGAAAGGTAAGCTTAGAGGGCCACGCCACGGAAAGAAGCCAGGCACGAGGGGGTTCTGCATCAGCTCCAAGACCTGTGGGGGCTGAGCCAGTCTGTTCAGCTGCTGTGGGAGTTATTCCAAGCTGAACACCTGAATCCCCTCAGCCATGACAATGAGCCCCACCCACAGGTGCTGCCTGGCCTCCATGGCTTCACACACGTACACACCCCGATTTCTCAAGACCTAAAGGGAGGCACCCCAGTCAAAGAGTCTGGATCCTGGCCCCTTGGATAGCCAACATCACCAGTGATCTCTTTCCTCCTCCTCCATACCTGGGAGCATTTATTTTTAAGCCATGAGTGATAGAAACAGTAGACAGAATGGCAGGGACCTCAGGCCCAGGCCCAGCTAAGCCTCAGTTGGTGAGTGAATGAATGAATGAATGAATGATGCCAAAATAAGATTTTCAGAATTCTTCAGTGCAGACTTTCTGAGCTCCCTCTTCCTCCAAGCCACCTCCCAAAATTAATTCTTCATCCAGAGCAGAGTTTCTTAAAGTGAGGTCCATGAACCATCTGCATCAGGATCACTTGGGGCACTTGTTTAAAACGTAGATTCCTGAACCCTTCTCTCAGCACTGTGGAATCCGCCTCTCTTGGAAGGTGGGACCTGAATATTTAGCAAGTTCCCCAAGTGGTTTTTCTGGGGGCTAATGTGTTGGTGTACCCCCTACGCAGATGGAGCTCCAGACCCAGGAATCCAGAGCCCCCATCCTTCCTCTCTCGTCTGCCACCCTCACTCGGTGCATAGGGCTGGCAGAAGCGGGTCAGCTGAGCTCTGCACTTTCAGAAAAGTCACTGAGCGGCCAGGGCCTTAGGGCGGGGACCCCGGGGCTGCCCTAATGGGGCGGGGCTGGATGGGGCGGGGTCGCGGCTCCTCCCCCGGCCCAGGCGGCGAGGGGAGGGGAATTGGCCTGAGGGGCTGCGTGCGGAGGCGGGTGGTACAGCCTGGAGCATCCAGCCGCTGGAGCTGCGAGGGACCCTGGACCCCTCCCACGCCGAGGTAAAGCCCTGCGCTACGCGCGGCCAACTCGCTCAAGTTGGAGCAGAGTTCTCCAGGCGATTGAAGGGGGATTCAGCAGCGTTGGCAGGAGTAGGAGGGCTTTGAAACCGCGTCCCGAGGGTGAGGGTCTTCAGACCTGCGACCCGGAGGGCTGGACAGTCCTGGACAAAGACCCCTTCAATCCCAGGATGGGGGATTCACACCCAGGATGCCGGCTGGGAAAGCTCGGACCCAGACTCCAGGAATGGCACAGCGTTCCCGGGCCCTGTGGTCTGCCCTCCCCGTCCCCTGCCAGGACCCTGTCCTGTCACCTAACCTGGGGCCTGGCCGGCGGCAGCTCCCGTCCCCAAAAGCAGTTAGAGGCCGTAGCGTCAGCCGCTCCTGAATTTTTCACACAGGGGGCGGGTCAGACACGCGGTTCCCATGGCACCAGGGCACTCGGGTTACAGTCGGGTTGCCCCTATACCCGCCTCGCCCTTCTGTAGTTCCAACCCACCCTCCTGCCTCTTCCTCCTCAGACCCCGTGAAATTGGGCATCCAAAGTTAAGTAACCCCTACCCTTGCAGTGGGGGGGACCTGAAACTGCACTCCCAACCCAGAACCTGTGAAAGAGAGCGGTGGGGAAGGGGAGGAGGCAGACAATTTGGATGCCTTTCAGAGCCAGGGCCTCATGTTCTGTGGGAAGGGCAGGTCCGTGTGCACGGAATGGGGAGTGTGCATGTGAGGACATCCCACCTCACTACTGCCCCTCTGCCTGCCTGCCTGACTGTCATCATCCTTAAGGCGAGGGAATGGCCTCTGGGTGTGTGTGTCTGTGTGTTCACAGCCTGCACACTCACTCCTTCCAGCCGCATCCAGGTTTACGCAGAGCCTGAGGCCAGAAAGCCTAGGGGCTTTCTGCCCCAAGAAGCTGAGGCACCACCTACTCCCATCTGAACAAGAGGGGGATCTGGAAGAAGCCATCTCAGCAGCTCATCAGGACGCTATAGAAAGCAGCAGCCTAAAGCAATTGACTGACAACCAATTCCCCCTTCTTTCAGAAGGAAGGAAGAAGCAAAACCCCCTCTACCAAAGATGACACTCAACACCGGACAGGAAGCAAAGACCCCTCTGCACCGGCGAGCCAGCACCCCACTGCCCCTGTCCCCACGGGGCCGCCAGCCTGGACTCCTGAGCACAGCGCCTTCCACTCAATCCCAGCATCCCCGGCTGGGTCAATCGGCCTCCCTCAACCCTCCCACCCAGAAACCTTCACCTGCCCCAGATGATTGGTCTTCTGAATCCAGTGACTCTGAAGGCTCCTGGGAGGCCCTCTACCGTGTGGTGCTACTTGGAGATCCTGGAGTGGGGAAGACCAGCCTGGCCAGCCTCTTTGCAGGGAAGCAAGAGAGGGACCTCCATGAACAGCTGGGAGGTAGGGGCCATATGGGCTGGGCTGGGATGTGGCCAAAGGAGCAAAAGCCCTGTCACCAGGGGCACAGGGCTGCCAAGAACAGTTGTACAAGTCATGCACTGTTCAACTCTAAGGGGCATCATTTACTTAGACTATGACATGAATGATGCCCCCTTGCCCTCCAAAGTTATACATGGCACAGCCTGCACAATGGTCAAAGGGAGGGAAATTCTTGAATAGAACAAGAATTCTGCCAACTTCCCATGAACAAGAAGTATATGATTCATTTCCATGTCACATGGGTGGCAATTCTGAATTCTTCTGAATGAAGAAATGTAGACTTCCACCCAGTTCAGAAACTCCCCTCCCCAACTCCTCTGACTCTCAGATTCTCCCAGTCCCATAGACACCCATCCATGGTCACCATGATCTACAGCAAAACTAAGATCCTTTGCAGAAGGGAGACTCCTAGACCCCAAGTTCTGGGCCCTGGGGTGCTTTATTCCCAAGAACTGCGGTGAGCTAAGAGTGTCAGGGGCCCCAGGGTGGTAGGATACAGGGAAGATAGAAGAGATGAAGGTAGGCCCCTGAACGACTGACCAAAAGGACATAGGGTGAGTGGGGGAAGGGGGTTGATTAAATGCAGAGAAAAGGTAGGGACATCTAGCCAGACTCTTCTCTAGTCTTGACTTCTCTCCCCCAGCCTCAAGAGTGAGAACCCATATGTGTTACAGATAGGGAGACTGAGGTCAAGAGAGGATAACATGACCTGCCTGAAGCACGCGCTAAGTCAGACAGAGCAGGCCTGGGAGAATTCCTAGCCCAGCTTTAACCCCACCACCCCACCTTTATTCAATCAATCAAATCTTTCTGGCACCTACTATGTGCCAGGTACTATGGCACCTGGGGAGACATGGGTTCCTACCAGGAGAGACAGGCATCAAACAAGTGTGATAAGCGCTTCTGAGGACAAGTGGAGGGGGTGATGTGACCAGAAATGGGGGGTAGCGAACACCACACTCTCTCAGGCTTGCCCCTCCTCCCTGAGATCCAGCTCTTCCCTTGGTTGCAGAAGATGTATATGAGAGGACCCTCACGGTGGATGGAGAAGACACCACGCTGGTGGTCGTGGACACCTGGGAGGCCGAGAAACTGGTATGGCACTGCAAGCAGAATTTGGGGAGAGGGGTGCTAAGCCTAATATTAGACTCTTTCCTGTCCTGTCCTGGACTACAGATCAGGTGTGAGCAAGAGCCATCCTCAGCACCCTCCCCCAAAACCCACAGCTCCTAAGCAGTCTTTCCAGTCCCAAACAGAAGACCCTTATGACCCTGACCCCTTTTCTCACTCCACAATCCCCTCCTACCAGCCATCTCAGAATGTGCTTCTCCACCTGCAGATCTCCCCATCATTATTTCCATCCTCGTCCCACCCCTCCCACCCACATTGTGCAGAAGGAACGCTGGATTTGCCCCAAAATGCCTAAGGCTGAACCCCCTTTCTTTTTCTTACTAGTTATGTAGTTTTGTGCAATTGACTTAACCACTTTAAGCTTCAGTTTTCTCATCTGATAAATGGGTTAACCATTCCTGCTTTCCTCATCAGCTGGTTTTTTAAAGTTCTTATGCAATTTCAGAGGTAAGCCCAGTTTAAAGCATGAAAAACTGCTGAATAGGGGTGAAGAACTGTAAATGATAACTCTTAGTAATTATGATTTGGTAGCTAGAGAAAAAGGAAACCAGAGCAGGAAGAGAGCAGTAGGCAGGAACATGTCCCTATTATGATTTTATCTTGTTTGTGTTTTCTTTTCTTTTGCTACGTGGGTAATACAAAATTTCATTGTAGAGCTTTGAGGAAAGTTGTAGAACTTTGAGGAAAAACATCAAAGCAAAGAGAAGGATCTAAAATCACCTGGGATCCCATCTCTCTAAGGGATAGGCTGCTCCCCTAAAACTGAGGGAGGCCCTGCCCTCAGGGTGGGGCTTAGGAGGACACTGGTGGGTGATTGACAATGGTTGACAGCTCTCCTTCTAAAAAGCATAAAAGGAAACCCGGGGCCAAATGAGCATAATAATGATGATGACTCTTATAACAGTACCTGACATTTATGGAGTGCCAGCTTCCAAAGTGTCAGCCCCTGTGTTAACCACTAGACATATTCTATGAATTCAATCAAAACAAAAACTGGGCCTGGTGCAGTGGCTCAGGACTGTAATCCCAGCACTTTGGGAGGTCGTGACAGGTGGATCACCTGAGGTTAGTAATTTGAGACCAGCCTGGCCAACATGGCAAAACCCCACCTCTACTAAAAATACAAAAATTAGCCAGGTGTGGTGGCATGGGCCTGTAGTCCCAGCTACTTGGGAGGCTGAGGCAGGAGAATCACTTGAACCCGGGAGGTGGAGATTGCAGTGAGCTGAGATCATGCCACTGCATTCCAGCCTGGGCG